TTCTGGGAGTTGAAGTCCGCCCATCTTCAAGTTGCTAAGGTTGAGCAACTCTGCTTTATTTGCAACTAGGATTCTGAAGATTTAGGTTTTAGAAGAACTATTGTTGGCAGGAAGGATGGCAAATCCCCAGCGCTACCCCAGTGATGCTCCCACGTTCAACCCTACCTGTACTTGCCAGCCAGACCCGAAGGACATTGGTGACGTCAAACGACAGCCACTCCTTTTCACTCTTCACCTTCACCGCCTGCCCTTGCAGGTAGTACCATGAGGAGTCGTTCCTTGAATGGTATTTTTGCTAAGGAGAGATGGACAGGACAGAAGACATAAGGAACAGCTTCTGCACCAATTCACCCAGCCAGATAAAAGACCCTGCTTGATTTCTCATCCAGATTTTGAAGTTTCAGGTTTTTTTAAAAAAGGGTTCTAGTTCTCAGGACTGAACTGAGAAACACGTGCTATTTTTGCAGAACTAGGAGGCAAAAATATCACCCTTTTCCCGTTTTCTCCCCAAAGTGGTCTCTTTCCCAGTGTCCTTTAATCTTTCTCCTCCAGATTTCCACGAAAACACAGAATTAGAAACATGTAGGCAGTTTTGCAAATCCAATTTAGATCACTAGAGCATTTGATTTTAAAAGAAAATTGGAGACGTGTCATTTTTCCTTCCGCCCTGCCTTAGAGAGCTGCCCTTCCAGGCTTGATTTGGACCTTATTTCGATGTACGGAAGCGGGTGACAAGTGAAATGCACTTTCCCCTCTTTACACTCGCCTAAATTCACCAGCCATCTGGTGGGAAGACTTTGCAGGCCAGAAAGCTTGGCTTCCAAAAACGGTGGGGAGCATTTCTGTTCAGTCTTCCACCCCGCGCTGGACACTGGCCCGACCTGCCGGCAGCTTCCCTGCCCTGGGAGCCCTCTCTGGTGCCCACCTGGTAAAGCTCCAGCCGCTGCTCCTGCCCAGTTCCAGAGGCACGCATCCTCAGCTCTGCGCGGTACAGCAGGTTGGGATCCGGAAGGGTAAGCCGGATTGGTGAGACGTCAAATCCAAAGTAGATGTTTTGGTTATCCTTTTTGTACTCTTCCCCGTAGCTTTCTGTACCGGGAGATGGGAAGCAAAGCAGGAGGTTAGCAGAGGTCTCTCAACCTTGGCCACTTTAAGATGGGTGGACTTCAACTCCCAGAATTCCCCAGCAGAATTCCCCAGGAATTCTGGGAGTTGCAGTCCACCCATCTTAAAGCATGCTGGCTGGGGAATTCTGGGAGTAGAAGTCCACCTGTCTTAAAGCATGCTGACTGGAGAATTCTGGGAGTAGAAGTCCACCTGTCTTAAAACATGCTGGCTGGGGAATTCTGGGAGTGGAAGTCCACCTGTCTTAAAGCAAGATGGCTGGGGAATTCTGGGAGTTGCAGTCCACCCATCTTAAAGCATGCTGGCTGGGGAATTCTGGGAGTGGAAGTCCACCCATCTTAACGTGGTCAAGGTTGAGAAATGCTGGCCGAGTAGCTGGTTCTCTTAATGTCAGATTCTCCTGGCAGGACAATCTTTTAAGGGCGCCTAGGGAAGAGAAGCTTTGCAAGAGTCCAGCTCTGCATGATTTAACTGCAGAAATTGGCCATGGGAGTCAGAAACTCGCTCCCACCCTTTAGGGGATTGGCCCGCAAACCGTACTTGCCAGAATGTCCGCAGGGTAAGGTCAGAAAGGTCAAGATGGCGACCAAGGTGGTGTGATTGAATCTCTGCCTGTTCTTCATGGCCTTGGACATCCTTTGATTGCTCCAACATGGCCATCTCAACCTTTTGACCAGGCCCTGCAGACACCCCTGCTTATTTGCAATGGAGTAAACTCGCTAACTTGCTTAAAAGCAGGCAGCAAGTTTTAAGTTTTGGGATTTTCAGAACAAACTAGCCACCAGCGCGTTTCTGTGGCATTAAGTTTCTCCACGCTCAATGGGATATTCCTCTGCACTTGTTCCAGACTGTTTTCACCCCCAACATATGAAACCATGGCTTGCTTAATCATTGTTTACTGAATAAACCAACATCAGCTGGCTTCACGCAAAATGCTAAACTCAGAAACACAGCTTGCAAAGCACAGAGCACATTAGGCCATGAGAACACCATGTTTTCCAGATAGCAGGTAGCATGAAACCGGTTTTAATTGTGATTTAGAGGAGGAGAAAACCACCTGTTGGTCTCCAGAGGCTGTAGAGTGGCAACTTCCAGCAAGCTCGGCCAGAGGGGAGTTTTGAAAAGATAGAGGTCAACTTCCCTTCCAGCCCCTGGTCTTTCCTTCTGCAGTTCTCAGGGCCTGGGCTAGGTTTTCTAGCAGAGTTTTGCAATTGTGCCATGCAATTAAAGCTTCAAAAATACACATTAAATCCAGTAATAGCAACTGATAATCCTGAAGCAGGAATTTTCTTGCAGGTCCCAAGGAAAAAAGCCCCAGAATTGGGATTCAGCCAATATCAAAATAGCAGCAAACGCCAAATCTTGCCCAGGTAGGTATTCTTTTATCTGCTGTCTGTATCTCCTGCCTCTCCTCCAGGAACACAAAGTGGCATACCTAGCTCCCCCTTCTCCCATATTTCCCCACCACACAACAACCCTGTGAGGTAGGCTGGGCCGAGAGAGAGGGACGGGCCCCGAAGCTGCCCAGAGTATCACAAAAAAGATTGCAAGTGTGTTTTCTGTGAAGACCTTCCTTTTCCCATCGGCTCAGAGATGCCTCGCTGGGTTTTTCTGCTATGTGCAACTTCCTCAAGAAATCGCATATGCCCATTTTACAGATCATGGCACTGAGGAACAACACTGAGGTCTTGCTTTGGAGACAGAGCCGCTTTTCTCAGAAGTCAGCCAGTTTCACAGTTTCAAGAGAGCCAGAAAGGCGATGCTCTGGTAAGGGATCCAAATTCCTGGCTGACCCCCTTTTCTTTTAACATGGCCCTTTCTATCAACTGATTTTGGAGGAATGATAGGGAAAGGCAGAGGATGACATTTGTTAAGGACTTTTCTACCCTTCCACCCCTAATTTGGCCCCTGGTTTCTTCTCCTTTTCCATCTTCTTGGACACACGAAGGGAAAGCTCGTTTAGCCACCCTCGGAGCAATCCAGCCAGGAGCTTAGTCCAAGGAGAAGACCTTCATGATCCAATTCACACAACATTCTGAACCCAGGTTAACAAAGCACGATTGCTCTGTTCACATGACTTGCAACACCCCAACGGGGAGACCACAGTCTGGCTTAAGGCGATGGTCTGGTGCCGTCTGGCTCCCTTGTAGCAGAAGGCTACCGCAGAATCAGAAAAATCAATCAACGGGTTTTGTATCCAAGAAGATCTGAACCCAACTCAATGGGTCAGCCCCAGTTGTATGATCTCTGGGGCCCATCTGCTCTCAGAAAGCTGGTTCATCCAACCGTCCACCCAGGCCAGCCGGTGCTCTCCAGAAGACACGCTCCAGAACTCAACCCAGCACCGTTTTTTCCCCCATATGACTCCGTCAGAGCATCTATTTCTGCTACAGGAAGAGACTATTTTTAAAGTTTCTCTTCCTTGAGAGATCAAAGGGGCTTTGACTTTGGTCAGAGAGACAGAGACCATGGGGATTTTTTTGTTGTTTTTTTTCAGTTTCTCTCCAAGTCTCCAACCACAGCATTAAGGATTGTTCTTTTTTCGAAAATATGCACCGTCTTCCGTTGCAAGCAAACAGGACACGGCGATTTGCAGTGAAGCAAAGATAGAATCCAAAGCATACCCCAGCAAGCAAATTGGAAGGGAGGAAGGAAGGAAGAGAAACTTCAGAGGAGGACAAATGAGAAATCTTTTCTTGAGGGAGGGAGAAAGAGAGAAGGAAGGAAGGAAGGAAGGAAGGAAGGA